CTCTGGTGCTGTTGTAAGTCTACGTATTTTATCTGCAAGACCTTGCATTTATCCTCGTTTTACCGTGAGTGAACGAGCTGAGTGATAACCACGGAATCTTTCAGAATGTGTCATTTTTCTATATAGCGTCGTTTTTACGCTACCATCTGTTACTCTTTGTATTTTGCAGTCTAACATAGGCAGTTCCCCAATTTCATTCTGTATTTATATAGTGAATTGTATTGAGTCCACATGACTTTTTATGTGCGAGAAGAATATCTCAACATCATTTTTTTCGTTATTACTGACGTGTCGTCTACATACCTCCCTCAACATTTTATTGATGATCTAAATGGCTTAAGTGCATTCTCTTCCCAAAACTTCATGAATATGTCAGCTATTATTGATGAGATGGATGATCCCGTAGCTACTCATTCATTTTGTTGGTATATTTTTCCTTCAAATGTGAAATATGCTGTTCTTAGACAGAATTCACCCCCCTTTTATTACCTCTTTTACGGATAACTGTGTCCTGTCTTTTGGGCCATCATCTTCTTTTAGTCTCATTTGCAGTGCATTTGTAGCTTTTCCTCTTCGTCCACTTTAGTGGTTATAAGTCATCCCACAAATTCAAATGAATCTAATATACTAGCTTTTGAGTTGTCTCTTGTTTGTCTTAGTATTGTTACCAATAACAAAAGCTTCTCATTTATCAAGGCTGTCCCTATTTTACTATAAAAAGAAGCAAGATAGGAGTTTCTGATTATACTTGCCATATAAAACATATATATATGAACCTGTGTTTAGGCAACAAAGCATCTCCCCCGATATCAGTCGAAATAAACTGAGGGAAATATTCTAGTAAGAGGGTGAATCACGGAATCCGCTCAATTGGTAATTCACGAAAGAAAAGAAAACAAACGAAAGAATCGTCATCACTCCACAATTAGTCGGTCGGTAAATTTATCCGGAAGTAGAAAATCGTGGATTCACTAGGTCTGTAGATTTCTTATATACACCTGCGGCTTGCCTCCTCTGCTTCAGCCACCGGCCAGTGTGTTCTATAATTATCATTTCTCTCACATATTACTCTACTTCTCTTCTTTATTCATTGTGGTACATATTTAGTTCAGCCTCTCCGTATGTTGTTCACCTTCGCACTGAATCATCTTACCTTCCATCATCCTCCCCTCTTCCATTAGCATCCAGGTATCCAATGAGAGACATCCCTTGTCTTGTCTCTTCTTTCTTCTTAATACCACTGTACATGTTCCCTCAAACATCAACTCAAAAGAGTTCCAAAGTTCTTTCAAATATGCTTCCCATTGATGTCGTGTGGTGTCTTCAACTTTGCTGTGATAGTTTCAGCAACGAAATCCTTTGTAGTTCGCTCCTTCAGTTTCTGAGTATTGAACTTCAATTGTGGTCTCTCGTCGGTTTTTCTGAAAGATTTCAGCTCCACTCTGAAGGTTCTTTGCACTAGATAATGATCTGAGCAGAATTCGCTCCCCTTCTCGACTTTGTGTCCTGAAGAATTCATCTCCACTTTCCTGAACATCATTGAGATGATATCTATATGGTTTTTGGAGTGCATTTTAGGTGAAATACATGGCGCTTTGTGTATATCATCTGTTTGTATATTATATCTGCAATTATGAAATCAGTGTAGGTGCAGAAGTCAGTGAATACACCTCTATCGTCATTCCTCTCACCAAGAGCCTGTCGACCCATGATTATAAGAACAAAGTAGTTCAGGGAAGAGTCTCTTTTCGGCGAATTCACTCACTTAACTATACCCTCGCAAATATATACACAATTATTTTGTGTGTGTGTGTGTACATTAGGTTTGTCATAGTCAAAATAACAGTTAGTGTGGGTTGTTGATTATATCATCAAAAATAAATGTATATATATTTGCGACTGTACAGCTAAAGGGAATGAATTCGCCGAAAAGATACTCTTCGCTGAACTACTTTGTTCTTATTTCAATGTCTTAATGGGTATATTTCGCGAATTAAAAATAAGCAAAGACCCTCTGACAGTGAAGGAACTGAATGGGTTTCTGCGATATTCTGTCAAGCTTGCTGAAGTTAATGCGAAGATTAGCTTTCTCAGAGACTGTATGAATAATCATGAAGACCCATGTTTAGTCCTCCTTCTGTGTATTTTGCTTCCAGCTTCGCTGGCATTCATATCGTGCATTGTGATTTCGATGTCGTCATTTTGGATGTTGTCAGTTTTGTTTGCAATTCTATAGGGAAATCTAACTTCTTCTTTTCTTCTAAGTTGTTTATAGGTGGGTAGCATTGGACTATGGTAATCGCTGTGACTGCATTTTGAGTTGAATCTTGATGTCACAGTCCTGGAGGAGGAGATTGTCTTCCGCTGAATTAGAGCTTTCTGTTCTGTTGTTGACATCACGATGTCCACTCTCTGCTTCAGAGTTCTCGTGGTTGTCGTCTGGGTGATCGAAGTAGATAACTGACTTGCCAGTGGACTGTTTCGAAAGTCCAAACTCATTTTCTCTGCTGTCTCTAATTCTTGGCACGTATTTTATCATTTCTTTAGCTGATTGGGTACCCTCCCAAGCCTAGTAGATTGTTTGAACTTTCCATATCTGCATGCTTATTTTGGCTTTCATCGAGAGAATACACATCAGCTCACTAACTGGCTTCCCGATGGCTTTCACCAGCCCATTGTTCCACTTCACCTCTCTGATTTCAATGAAGGATACGTTCATTTCTTAAACTTGTGTAATTTCAATATTTTCCTTGTGCGTTGAAGTGTTTGTAGCAGTTTGATTGGTTTTCAATCTTAGGGTTGCCAGTCACACGTCGTACCCTTCCTCTTCTAGAGGTCACGGAACCGGCTAGCAAAATAGTGAACTGGTGAACTGGGCCAGATTATGTCGCCAACTGGGTTCTCAAAACGTGACATATATATATGTAGATTAACTCTGATCCTACTCTACTCGTTGCCGTACCATAGACCAGTAAAAATGCTCAAAAGAAGCAGCTACTTGAATTCATGTATTGAAGATGCAAAATTCTGGCTTGAAATATAATCACATGAAATTCCTGTTGCCTCTTCCAATACCTTATTTAGAACTAAGAATCAATATCAAGTGGGAACATGGTTTAACTTTTTACAATTCACTTATGAAGACATCCTATTAAATCAAACGTAATTTTGAGAGGAAACTTGCAGAGAAGTTTTCCGTTATAGACTCCAACATCTCAACTAACCACTTATAAAGCCAATGCTTTCGGGATACTCAGATTCACTCAATGCGTGAAAGAAGAACCTTTGGTTTGTGAATCCTTGTTGTTAGGTTTCTCTTTCTCTCACTTAACTCACATAGTTCTTCTGCATGGTTAATGTCTCCGTAGTGCTTTATTTTCTTTAGAACCCATTCCTGTTATCGACAAAAGAGCAAAACAAGTAGTTCGGTGAAGATGGTGTCTTCTACGATTTCTCGTACTTACGTTGTACAGAAGCCTCTACATCTTGTTTCTCCGTGAATGAGGATAGTGACAGAAGTGGTGAGTTGTCATGATCACAGTCACGAATATCAGTCAATGTTTATGATGAGTTCAATGAGTGTAACGTAATAAAATGAATAACGTATTGAATGATTCGTACGCAGCATACACATTGAAAAGAAGTAAAATGTGAAATTGTTCCAGACTTTGAATGAGCTAGAGGAGTTATCGACTCTCAAAAAAAAACGAACAAACAGATTAATTTCTTGGGAAACATCAGAGTTGATGTGCTGAAAGTGGTTGAACAGTCTGTTTTTCGTGAAGAGCTGCGATTTTTTCCACTCATCTGGCTAGAACTTCAGTGATACGAAGGAGATGAAAGTGTACCCTCATAATTAGGTGTTTCGTCACTTTTTAGACTAATTTGAAAGAGGCTTTTTCTGAGAGGTGTTTAATTGTCGCACTACTATGACAAACACTGAAACCATTCCGCAGGATTGTGTACTTCTACCCTTTTAGACAGAAAAATATAACTGGCTGCATTGAAACAGATGAACTGATAGAAGTAGTCAGATGTGAGAACGTGTTATTCAGGAATCTGCAGACCGGTGAACGACTAGTGAACACCAACTAGTCCTAACGTTACCACGAAGAATGTTATTCCATAAGATGTCAAAAACATTCTCTAATAGAGACCAAAGATCAAATCTACCTTGAAATCAATGTTCATATACAGACTGTGTTTCGAATGAAGATTATTTTAGAAGGTCTAGTTCTTAAGCTAAAGAGTCAAAGATTTTATTGAATTCCGTTTTCGATCAACAAGCATGTAAATGTCCAAACGTGTCAGCTGAACTTTCCATTTATATACACACTGGACAAAACTTCTTAATATTCTATTTGGGTAGATCCACATACTTTTCACCACCCTACTTCGTGAAAAATTGCGTATAAACGACTGGTATTTGCAAACATCCTTTACCTCCCTATAAGAATGCATCATATGTAGATGCAGTTGCACATTGTGAGAATGACAGTGTTAAAAAGTCTAACGATTTATCAATGTTCAGATTTTGTATTGAATTGAAAAAGGCGAAAATGTACGGAAGCAAGGAGAATTGCTCCAAGACAACCAGACTGAAGCAGAGGATAGGATTCACTCAGATATGGAAATTGTTGACCCATGGACCATAATGAAAAGTGCGTGACACTTGCATTGAAGATTATTTTCAGTTAACCATGAGTTACTCTCTAAGCATGATTTGTTGATTCGGTTTATTTCGATTGTGAGTGTCCACAGTGAGTTCGTAATGATAGCAATGCATTATTTAATTCACAAAGAAAACAATTACACCCATACATTTACACGACAAATAATTAACTTCGCATTGAACGCATGAACAATAGTGACACACAACGGCGAAAGCCGTGCAGCTTCTGACCAATCTACAGGTACAGAAGATCTGAGGTGGTAAAAGAAACACAGAGTGATAACTCAGAATTTATTTAGCATTCATTTATTCAATATTCATATGTGGGAGCGTGTCTAATCAACAAATCACTAAATTCCCTCCAAACAATCACACATTTAATCCTTCTTCGTCTTCGCATCCTTCGCCTCCTTGATATTCTTCTTCAAACTTTCAACCTTCTTACCAATCTTCTTCAGATCAGGACGTTTACAGACACTGGAAGTGGATAAAGACAGAATTCACGAGAAATGTTACTGTATGCATTGAAAACAGGTGATGAAATAAGAGTGAGGAATAGATAACACTACTCAAATTGACACTACATAATCCACCGTGTTGATATGTGTTGCTTATAAATGTTCGAATAGAGAGGCTTACTGTCAGTCACTCTAGTAAAACGTCACATGTGAATGAATGAATCCTTGGCTTTCTAGTCTACACTCTGAAATACTTATTTCTGCATAGATGACTACGAGCAATATTTGTTAAGCGTTGATATTCCCCTCAACATATGACCATACAAATATGATCCTCTCAATAATCTGGAAAGATACCATTGCCTGTGTGCAATGTCATTCCGTGGTTGGTCTAATCGATGTCTCAGTCAACACTGAACAATTTCCAAACACCATAAGATAACCATCGATTCTCCAAAGAACCTGTAGTCCACAAAAATGGAAACTTCGCACATCATAGTCACCTGTTCACTCACTGATTCCAACGAAGCTTTCTGTGAACACATCACTGCAATTTGTCAAAATCAGAATGCAGCTAATAAATAAATATACCATTGGCTGATTAGTTTCAGCTCACGGTCATATTGTTAACCAGGTCGTGAAGAATGTATATTCTCAAGACGTCACGCGAGTAACGTCGAACATAGCTATGATGAGAATGCACCCAATGCAGAGCATTTAAGCTTCGGGTGCTAGTAGAAAAATAATTATCGAATCAGTAATGCAATCATCTGTCATCAGCCACATCAAAAACGTACGTGTCCACCTGTCGAGATCCCTTCTTCGCAGACAACTCCTCAGTAGTTGGTTTCGACAGATCGAAGTTTGTGACACACAGACCAGACGCGACTTTCACAACTTCCTTCTGATTCTTTCCCACTGTCAGCAATCCATACTTGATATTCCACGATCCTTAAAGAAAAAACTGCAATAGTCAACTACTAGGAGCAATGTAAAGTGATTCAACTGAACAGACGTCCTCTACAATAACAAGTCTACTGAGACGATATTCACTTTCGTGGATAGTCAACAGTAATTGGTCAGTGTTTACCTATAAATTCCATTCGATTCACCTGAACAAGGATGGAAATAAGTGTCATCCAAATCACTATTCAATTTGTAATTCAGGTGTAAACTAAAGCACATGCTGTTGTTTTTCCTACTCTTGGGTAAGCCAATATTCCTCCACATATCGATAGCTGAATTCAGAATGTTATAACTAGTGGCTGAGAGACCATCGAATATCCAGTTGCAAAAATGCTATGTACATAGATGTTTGTCCTTCCGGAGAATACCCCTAACATCTCTTTATATACTCCCTGTTATCAGTTGCAGTCAGAATGAAGTAGAAGTGGGATATACAGACATGCATGACACCGAAATCCTCAATTTCATAATCAGTTATCCAGTGTTCATCTCACACTCGGCGTGAAGCAGCAGGATGCAGATAAACAGTAGGCATAATTAAGCTACAGTATGTGTTGCGCCACGGCAATCTGTTGTCTTGAGTGACTCTCTTTATAGGTTTGTGTAACTGGAAATGGATAAGCTTAACACAAAACGTTTAGTAGGAAGTAAATAATATTGTATGTGACCCTGAGGACTGACTCACCATCCGCATCGAAATGTAATGGAAGTTTCTCAGATTTCTTATAAGGCTTCATTTCAACGATGTTTGGAAGAAGGATGCAAGCAATGATGATGCAGAACATTGAAATATGTGCCATTGTTGTGAATCTGGAAATAGAAATGAATCAAATCAAGGAGAATTGAGTATATTTACAAATACAATAAGGCAACAGTTGAATGAAAATGGTTGGAATAAGTACTGCTTCAAAACATAGACAAATAGGAATAGTCTAGGTGTAGAGCTTTAGCGCTACAGTAGAACGTAATTCGACATTAGATTATGAGCAATTTATGCTTGAAACGTAATCCTTTAATACTGCATCATTGTTGGATATTTGAAATAAACAAGTACACGCCATATGGCTTCAAAGTCAATTTTGAATCCACAACGCAACAAGGTTTTTGAGGTGATTTGAGAAGTGGTCTTAAACTATGCTCTATGAGTGATAGTCTAAAATATCAGTCAGCTAACGTAGTCATTCAGTAACATGTTAGACACAAATGTGAGAACTTACAAGTTGTTTGTAAGTTACTGATGAGTTCAATAGTGTTTCACTCATACCCGTATATATATATATGCATGCAGGTGTAATTAAAGTGGCAAACTAACAGTTCACTGGTCAGTTTTGCCACATAAATCGATGCCGTCTGTCAGCATGTTGTCACCGACTTGCTCAGATCTTATGATCTCAGATCATGACTTAGGATTGATTGATCTGGATGAACTCCTAACCGACTGAAATGCACGAGAGTTAGATTATTTTTCTGGTTTACTTCACTGATGCGTTGATTTTTATTTGATGTATTATTAGTCTTTGTGATGGAGGTTTCTTCTGCGAAGCATTCATTCTCTCCATAAACCACATATTTATAGCTGAAGTAAGCATACGGTTTGTGTGATTGTCTGGACGCTTGATTGAATTGTTCACCGCTTCTGGTTTTCTCGTTCCACAACGGAAAACTCACCATGGCGTTTGGAGTAAACACAGTAGTCAGAAAAGGGTGCTTATTATCACCAATGATATTCCTAATTGTGGTGGACTGTATTATGCGTCAGACAGTGGGCGTCGGTGGCACAATGGTTAGGACTCTCGTCGACCATGCACATGGTCCGGGGTTCGATCCCCTGCCGACGCACACCCGATATCTACGGTCGGCCTGCAAAATTTGGGCTACCGATATCCATGCTGAAAATTCCATACTTGTACTGAAAATACGGTGTGGAATCAAGCTGTAAATCAAAAAAAAATCCTGAACCGACATAAAGAACCTAGAAGACCTGGATTTCGCGCGTGGATGATTTATGTTTGATGTCACACGAAATCGAAGACTTACAAGCGGAAATCGACAAACTGATCGAAGAAGCAGCAAAGACAGGACTGCAGGTGAACCTAGACAAGATGGAGGTTATGAAAATAACCAACCAACAACAATAACAACAACAACAGCAAAATCCAGCGCCAATCACCATCAACGGGAGCGATTTGAAAGAGGTTACTTCATTCACTTATCTAGGGAGGGAGCATTGTCTCAACTACAGGAGGAACGGACGAGGATGTCATATCGAGAATGAGGAAGGCGAGAAACGCATTCATCAACGTGAAACCAATCTGAGTATCTTTGTCACTCACCATCAACAACGAAATTCGGATTTTCAATACAAACGTCAAGTCAGTCAGTTCTTCTATACGGATGGATCAGAAACTTGGCGGGTCACCAAGAATATTTCCAACAGTCTGTTGCAGACCTTTATCAACAGCTGTCCTCGCTCTATGCTGAAGATCAGATGGCCGGCCGGAAAGAATCACCAACAAGAAACTATGGGAACAAACAAAGCAAGAACCAATCGCCCAACAAATATGCAGTAGAAAGTGGAGATGGATTGGACACTGGCTGAGGAGGCCACTCGCTGGGTGACATCGCTTGTCAGGCCAGTGCTCGAGTGGAATCCGGAATGGAAGCGACGAGTAGGACGTCCAACTGTGACATGGAGGAGATCGTGTGAAGAGGAACTGAAACAGTATGGATTAACATGGATGCAAGTGAAAAGTACGGCAGAAGACAGAAGCAAGTGGAGACGTGCAGTTGAAGCCCTGTGTTCCACTAGGAACCCAAGGGAACAATAATGATAATAATAAAAATAATCTGGTTTTCTCGTTCGTGTGCTTTCTTGTTTTTGTTGTATCCAACCAACTTATCATTAAGTGTGATATTTCAGTGTGCATTTATTTGTTGCTTGTACCAAAAACTAGCAGTTGACACAGACACGTCGTGATTGACGCAAATCACACAAATAGCATACCTTGATTTTCACTCAGGTTATTTAGAAAACTAAGAAAGATGTAAGTAAATTTCGTTTACATGCTCTGCACCAAGTAGAAACGTAAAGGTTGGTAAGTGATTTTCTGAAACGGTAAATTCGGTAAACGTTGTTTTGATAAGCGCATCTATATAGTGGAAGTAAGTAGCGGTGGCAGCTATTGACACTCACGATGGATGGTATTGATTGTTATGTTATTTGAAAACCATAGCCTCACATAAGCTCTAAGATGGTTGCATTAGGCTGTGCTGGTTGGTGTAATATACTTACTCACCATACCATTCCAACTTGTACATTGTCATAGCTCCTCACAACCAACCCAGTCGAATGTAGCCTACATGACAGGAAAGAAGCTGTCATTGAGTGTGATCCCAGTGTCTGAATGGTCTATGAGCTTGGCTTGTAAAACAGAGATAGTGGGTTCGAACTCTGGTTGTCAGTGTGTACTGTAGATGTTTATGAAACTACGGTGAAACAGCTCTTCAATTTGTTTGAGTTTTTAGTAAATTTCTAGCTCATATAAATTCCTAATAAAACTTGAAACAGATCAAGTCTCTACAAACAAACTATCAAAAGGAATAGTAATATTGAAAGCATCTAATTTTGTGTTTTATACCAATATTTCTCAAAGGGGGAAAATATAATATATGCGCTCGTGCTTTGACCTGAAGCCTGCTTGTCTGTGTCAGGCATATGCCCACTGAGTCACAATTAGTTTCCACATAAGTTTTCAGCATTCAATTTTCTATATTGTGATTCATCCATCTTACTCGAAGCCACAGTAGTCCATAAATATACTGCTGTATAGTGGGACTGTTTTAGATCATCCGATGCTAGCCAGTACCACTGATAATTTGCTCAGCTGTCCAATGCTCACACAAAAACTTGGAGGATCTGGACTTCGCCGATGATATATGTCTGATTTCCGAAAAACTGGAAGATATGCAAGCGAAAAGCAACAAGTTGGCAGAAGAAGCATCAAAGAGGTGATGAAGATTTCTGGACAAGAACAACGACAACAGACAACGATCAGCATAAATGGAAGGAAGCTGAAAGAAACAACCTCTTTTACCTACCTGGGAGGCATCGTTTCAAATACAGGCGGACGGAACTGATGAGGATATCAAAGCAAGAATCGGGAAAGCAAGACAAGCTTTCACTACTCTCAAGTCTGTGTGGAGGTCAACAGCACTCAGCATCAAAAATAAGATCCGGGTTTTCAATTCCAATGTGAAGTCAGAGCTACTTACTTTATGGATCAGAGACTTGGCGCATCATAAAGAGAATCTCAAACCAACTACAGACCTTCAATAACAGTTGTCTTCGCTCAATACTACTCAAGATCAGATGGCTGGCCAGAAAAGATCAGCAACAGGGATCTCTGAGAGTGAACCAACCAGAAGCCGATTGTGAAACAAATAGGCAGGGAGAAATGGGGATGGATTGACCATACTCTGAGAAAACAAAGCATCAAGTGACATCACTAGATAAGTCCTCGAGTGGAACTCGAAAAGAAAGCGGCGAGTTGGTCGTCAGTGCAAGGGTGACTTGGAGTAGATCATGTGAACAGGAGATGAAAACGTGTGGGCGAACTTGGAGCCAGGTGAAGACTCTAGCAGAGAACCGAATGGAATGGAGACGCACGGCTGAAGCCCTATTTCCCTCTAGGAATTAAAGGAAACAAAATTAATAATAATATCCAATGCTATTAATACTACACTTAAATACCTGTGCATTCATATCATCACGTTTGACGAGTATTCGCTATTATCAATACTCATTACATTTGTTTACACTTCCTGACTTATGAATAATAGCAATTTCTTTCAAAGAGTTTTGATCATATGAATTCATTACTGTATTTGATATGATTTGTGATCACATTTTGTTAAAACTAAAAATGAAAACAGGATGTATTAGATGCAAATATGTAGATGTACGGAAAGGTAGCCAAGGTGTGAAACAGGCCGCTGGTCAAAAGATAATTAGTAGGACTAGTGGTATAAAACTCAGTCAGCTCGTCACTACATTAGTAGAAAGGCATCTGAAAAATTGCAAAAAATGGTATAAAACCATACTCTCCGACCTCCAACACTCCCTCTATTCCCAACTCTCGCCTTGTATCTCATCAAGTAAAACCAGAAATCAGTATAAAATAATATATTCTCGTACAACCAAGTACAGGAACTCAACGATGCCATACTTCGCCCGTGTTCTAAGTGACAGAGACAATGTTAAGCTCGAAACCTATGACTTGCCTTGTTGTTAATAACCTAATTTTAGGCTCTTTTATTTCTCTCTTATTCTGTATTCCATAGTGAACTCCTTCTTAAACATACTTAGTTACCTAAATTATTAACATTGGCTTACTTTCGTACTTTACTGTATTCCTTCTTTTGTGTATCTACTGGTTCCGACTATATTAGCACTATGAGTAGTTCAAAATTGTCCTGTCATTAACTATCATGTAATTATTAATTTTTGTGGTTGATTTTTCTTATTTTTTATTTTTTTCGGCAATATTAACTGACAATCATTGGTTCTGAACGCCATTTTCACCATCTTAAAATTTTGTATTATGCAGTATTACTCACACTACCACTACAAACACCGCATTAGACCTGACAATAAAAACAACAACCCTGAAATGTTATTTTATGACTGTTTAGTGTTGTTTCAACCAAACTAACTGATCATCTTGGCGATAAACACTCTTCAATATCATTTCATAACTTCTTGTAAGACTACAGCTTCACTGTCACCATGCATATACATATCATAGCTTCCACTAACCAACACTGAGTTATTGTTATATGCTGTTTATTTTCCTATCTACTTCTAGGTATTTTTTCACACTTTTTTATAATTTTTGTGTTTCTTGTGTTTTCGTTGTTGTTGTCTTTATATATTTGTTTTTTTGAAATACTCCTTTTAAACGTTGGATAAAATTAGATGCAAATATTGTAGATATGTGCTGAAAATACCACACTGTAACATTAGTACTGTTTCTGGAATAAAGCAAATTATTGTCACATTGTGCTTCCTGACATGCTTGCAGATTTTCGGTGTTATTCTGAAGTCAACCGTGGTAATCCACTGAGGATTTATTATTCTTTAACAGCTGGTTAACAACTGTCATCTGTTTCTTCTCCATTGATTCTCCATTGGTGTTTGATCTATTTGTGTCAATGTTTAGCTTTATTCAGATAATTCAAGTGAG